AGCTGATGGGGTGGGTTGGGCAGGGGGTGGTGTTTTTGGCTCGGTTCTGTTTCAAGGCACGGGACGCACATCCGAGCCCACTGCTACTCCATGACAGGGTCCAGTGAGGGCACCATCTCCATGGCCGAGGGTGAAGACCTCAGTCTCATGGAGGAGGACAAAGGCGACGGCTGGACCCGGGTCAGGCGGAAACAGGGAGGTGAGGGCTACGTGCCCACCTCCTACCTCCGCGTCACGCTCAACTGAACCCTGCCACAGGCGGGAAGAAGGGGGCTGTTGGCTGCTGCTTCTGGGCCACGGGGCGCCCCAGGACCTACGCACTTTATTTCTGCCCCCGTGGCTTCAGCCGAGACCCGTGTAACCTGCTGCCCCACCCTCCACCCCTTCCGAACGGACCCGCTGTGCCTTCCACTGTTGATGTACATACTCGTGTTTCAGATCTTTTCTTCCTGCCGCTGGGCTAGGGCCATTTTGTTTTATATAAAAAATTACCTAAAGCTTTTGGAGTCTGAGCCTTATTGGTAGATTTAGATCCCGAGGCTGGATAAGCAGATGGCACCCTCCTTCCTGGCCACAGAGGGCATGAAGAAAGGGAAGTAAACTTGGGCAAACCTTGGACAAAACTTCCCCAGAGCTGGGTGCTTGTCTGTGACTTCAATGTAGGGGATAAAGCACCAAACGTCCTTGCCGTGTTTGTTCGTGGCAACTTTACTGAGAAAAGGCAGTGTTGAACACCCACCGCGTGCCAGGCGTTCTCCACCCGTGATCCCTAAACTCCCGAGCTTTAATCCCCGTGACAACCCCCAGAAAGTACACGGCCTCACTTTTACGTTGAAGGCAGACACAGAGAGGCTGAGCCATTTGCTAGAAGTCACACAGCTTTTAAAAAGCATTTGAACTCTGGCTTCCGACTAAGAGCTCTGCAAGTTCTCGTCCTATCAGAAGCCTCATGTTCACCATTTGTAGGTTACAGTGTGGGGAGGTGGGGGCTGGGATAGGGGGTCCAGAGCCTCCAGACACCTGGGTCTTCTAGTGGGGGGGCGGGGGAAGGAGGCCGTCCCTCACGCTAGGATTCATGTACACTTTTAGGGAGCAGGATGGGTTCTTGCAAATCTGGCCCCCACTTTCTGTGAGGCAGAATGGGTTTCCACTGCGATTGGCTGCGTGAGCAGCGTGGGGCAACTGCATGGGTGTCCCCGTGCGAAGAAGGGGGTCTGTGCTTTCAACCATCCGGCTCCAGGCGCTGTGAAAGGACACTGAGGACGCGCTGGAACTTCTCAAGACGTGCAGCTTGCGGTGCCCCCACGCCTCGGCTTCCCCAGAGCAACCTTTGCACGAAGCCTGTGGTCAGGGCCTCCCTCAGCTGCGGGTCCGGACGGAATCCTGGGGGCGGGGCCAGGAGGGCTGGGGGCAGGGCCCAGGCTCCAGCCTTGCCCCTCCCTGCACCTGCCTTCTCCCAGGGGAACTTTCTCCCAGCAGGGACCTGGAGGGACTCTGTCCAGAAGCTCTGGGCAACTGGGCGGGGTTGGCGGGGAGGGGGCTCTCAGAGTCGCTGCAGGAATCGGGGTGGGGTGGCTAAGGAGCTCGGTGGAAACAAACTGCGCCAGGGTGCATGGGAGCAGTCTGTTCCAGGTGCGTGATGCTGGGGTGGGGGCTGGGAGGGGGCCTCGGGGCTGTGCCTGGAGGTGGAACCGCCTGGGGAGGGGGCAAGATTTGGAGTCTGGGCCACCCAGCACGGCACATTTTGGGGGAGGTTGAGCCTTTTTGGAGAGAAGAGAGCTAAGGTGGCCAGCGAAAGCGGGAGTAACTCAGGTGGGGATTCTGAAGGCTGGGCCTCCCCCAGCACGGGAGGAATGGCTCTGAACGCAGTGGGGGTGCTGTTCTACCAGACCGAAGGAAATGACTCATTTTGGAGAGGGCTAGGCATTACTGGGGGGATCGAGATCCTCTGGGGGCAGGGCCATCTCAGGTGGGAGTCGGGGACTGGGACTCCGTGGACGTGGCTCCGGGGCCTCTCTTGGGGTGGACAGCAATATTCCTGTCAACACTGTTGGCTCGGACGCGCGCGGCCTTGGGGCGAGAACTCCCTGGGGGCCGGGTCGGCCCGGTTTGGGTGGGACTCCGGGAGGCGTGGCGGAAGGCTCTGGTCCCTGGCCGGGTGGGCTCTGGGGCACACAGTCAGAGCATGCGGGGTGCTCGGAAAGTCCGGACGCGCTGGCAGCCGGGAACAGAGGGGGAGCTCACCTCGCAGGCGCCGGGCCGCCGCTTCGCGGAACTTGGGCGCGTCCTGAGCCATCTGACGCGCCCGGTGCAGGGTACGCAGCAGCCGCTCGCAGCTTTCGTCTAGCGGCCCGGGGAGTTCCTCGCCCTCCAGCAGGCGCACCGCGGGCACCACGTGCGGCAGCGCCACCTCGCCGGGGTCGCAGGGTCCTATGCGGGAAGGGCTCTGGGCTAGGCTTGGGGCAGAAGTGGGGTCTAGGGTGAAGAGGGTGGACCCTAGAGTCGAGGGACCCTAGAGTCTAGGTCCTCCTAGAGTCGAGGAGGACCCTCAGAAGCCCAGGAACACGGGTTCGAGCCTAACAGAGCAACCGGGCCAGGGGCGTGGCCTAGGACTGGGGGCGGAGCCTAGGACAGAAACAGGGGCGGGGCCTAAAGCTGGATCGGGATTGCGATTAAAGGTTGGTGTGGACCTCCGAGTGATGCCACTCACCGGCGCCCTCATCCAGCGCCCGCATCAGAGGCTTCAGCTCCTGCTCGAAGGCCAGCGCGGCCTCTGTGTGGCTCCTTCGGAGCTGGCGCCACGTGCGTTCCAACCGGGACACCTGGGGGAGGAGCCCTAAATATGCTTCCTCTTCCCTCTTCCCTGCACTCAGGCTTCCTCATTTCCGCTCCCCACGCACCTGGGGCATGAGCAGGGCGCCCATGACCGCGGCCAGTCCAGGCAGGTCCCCCGCCGCCCCTGGCCCCAGGGCCAGTGCCAACTCCACCAGGCCCCGAAGGGTTGCCGCGCGCTCCTCCAGCGGGCCTGCGCAGCCCAGCACAGCCAGAGCCCCAGCCAGCGCCAGCGCCTCATGTCTGCGGGAGTGGAGGGCAAGGGTCTGGGGGCAGTGGGAGGTTTGTAACTCGGAGCTGAGGCGTGTGTGTGTGGGGGGGGGGGAGGCATGCCCACCCATCTCACCTCCTCCCTGGGGGACTGTAAATGGGGCGAGATTTGAAGACCCTGGGGATTCCAGGCGGCTGGCTCACCTCTCCAGAAGTTCCAACCTCAAGCGATGCCCATGGGGAAGCGTGAGCAGCTCCAGGCCAGAGGCAACCCCCATGGCACCCCGCTGAGCCTTGGTCACTCCTAGAAGTCCTGTAGCCTGGGCAGCGGGAGTTAGTGGGGATGTCAACTGAGCAGAATGAGTATACGGGTTTGAGGTGCCGTTCGGCCTTGGCCTGGCTTCAGCCCCTGTCTAAGGAGGAGGGACCTGGTAGGTGACCCACCTGACAGTCCACCAATAATAGGTGGAGGGCAGTGCTCCCAGGATGGTGCTCCAGGAACAGGCCACGGAGAGTACTCAGGACTCTGGGTTCCAGGGGCCGATTCTGGGGGCCCAGCAGGCAGGAGGGGTTGTTAGGGGGGCAGAAAGAGACCTCAGCCTGTGGTCTTGCAAAACTTCTACTCTCTTCCTCCTCTTCCTCTTCAGCTTCCCACCATGGGGCCTCTGTCTCCGGGCTGCTGGGGCCAGGGGGTGTTCCTTGGGCACTGGGCACTCGGGGCACCAGCTCACAGTACGTTGGGGGGCGTCCAGACGCATCACGCAGCACCAGCGAGGGTGTTCGAGGTGGCTTGGTTGGTGCCTTGGCATGAAGCTGCCCATCGGAGGCCCTGAGGCTGTCAGCAACGGACCCCAGGGGAGCTGGGGTCTTTAGCAACACGGGGTCACTACCCATCCGAGGGAGGGCACACATGGGCATGGCTGAGGCTTCTAGGGGTCAAACAAGAGGGAGTGAAGGGGGTACACAGAGAAGATAGCTGGGGCCCTCTTGGTTCATGTCGTCAATAACTAGGTATCTTGGGGTGGGTTTGAACTTAAAAACTTCATTGATCTAAATGCGATACACTTACCAATGGTTTGAAAATGAACTCTCTTTGACACTTATGTATGAATTCTGAATACTATGGTTTAAACTTGAATTCTTTTGGTTTTGGCCCTCTGGTTAAAGATGGGAAGCACATACAAAACTAAAACAGAAACAATTCTTCAAAATTCACAAAACGGCAAAAGCACCAAAGACACAGAGTTGATCAAACTTTCAAATGATGTCTTTTGTTAAGCTTCTGATGTGTCTACTTCTGAGGTTATTAGAACTCAAAGCTGCACCCAGACTTTTGGGAGGCTCTGTATTTGCCAAGCATATACGTAGACCCTCTTATAGGGGCTCAAAACCTTCCCATGGTTCTAGCTCACTCTGAGTAAAGGCCAAAGTTCTCACAGTAGCCAAAAAAGGCCCCTGATATCTGAATCTCAGATGGTTCAGCTATACTCACCTCCTTTTGGCTGAATCGACAGTTCAAACTCTTGTTTTGGCCCCAGGACCTTTGCACTGGCTCTTCCTACCTTTTTTTTTTTCTTTTTTTAAAGTTTATTTGTTTATTTTGAGAGACAGAGGGAGAGCGAGAATCCCAAGCAGGCTCCATGCTGTCAGCCCAGAGCCCGATGAAGGGCTTGAACTCACAAACCATGAGATCATGACCTGAACCGAAATCAAAGAGTCGGATGCTTAACCGACTGAGACACCCAGACACCCCACTGGCTGTTCCTTCTCCCTGGGCCACTCTTACCTCCAGATAGTCACATCATTTCTTCCTTCACCACCTTCAAATCTTTCTCCACGGGGCCTGTCCGGACTACTACTAAAACTGTAATACTCTCATCCCTCTCCTCCCAATCTGCCTGTTTTACTTTTAAGTTTACCCCAACTTGACTCATTTTTGTTGTCAATGTCCATCTTCCTTTAATGGGATGCTGGCACCACCTGTGCAGAGATCTCTGTCTTCCTTGGTGAGTGGTATATCTCAGCATTTAGCCCAGTGGCTGGCATGCAGTGAGGGCTCATGTTGAATGGGGGGAGGCAGGACAGATGGGACAGACAAGCCGCAAGGAGAATCGTAGGGTGGACGGTTAGGGTCAGCTGCTTTGAGAAACCAAGTTAAATGAGAAGTCAGTCAGGAAAAGATTAGGGGAATGGGCTTCCCCGTGGTGAGGATAGCAAGTGCAAAGATCCTGAGGCAGCAACAAGACGGTGTGGCTGGAGTGAGGAAGGGGTGTGGCAGGAGTTATTAGAGAGGTCAGCCACGGTCAGAGCACACAGAGCTTCTGGGAATAATCATAAACCCACATTTTAAAGCCCTCACAAAGTTCCTGTGTATTTGTTAATCACCATGACAATTTTGAAAGCATTATTGTCCCCATTTTCCAAGAGGTTAAGTCACTTGCCCAATATCACTCAGGCAGTGAGAGGCACAGCCATCTCTGAGCCATGTGCTGTCCTGGTGGACCCTTACCTGGTCCACAGTGATCTTCTCTTGACCGCCCCATGTGCTCCAGCCCTGCAGGCTGACTGTCACTCCACTTTCTAGTCCTGGGGGACAGAGATGAGGGAGACGTGTAGTCCCACCCTGAGCAGGGCAGCCCCCACTGATGCCCAGAAAACCCTATATCCACTCATTCAGGATCAGTGGACCTCAACCAGGATATCCTACCCACAGGGGACACTTCACAGGGTCAGGAGACATCTTTTTTTCATTGTGGCAACAAGGGGGTGGGGTGGAGAAGATTCCACGGGCACCCCATAGATAGAGGCCAGGGATGCTGTTCAACATCCTACGATGCACAGGACAACCCCCCACAGGCAAGAGTGATCCGGCCCTAAATGTCAATAGCGGTTAGTGCCCAGGTAGAGGAATTCTGGGGGGAACTGGATGTCATCTGAGAAGTAGGGAGCCTGTGATTACCTGGGCAACTCTGTCAGAGCTGGGCTGCCTCGGAGGGTGTCCTCACTAAAGCTGCGTCGAATAGGTCCTTGCCGTATCACGGGCCTGGAGGCCAAAGCCCCGGTGGCCTGGGAGAGCGGACGTTGCCCGGTCACATAGCTGAGAACCAGGGAGGTCAGGCTTGGGAAACGCTCATCCTCCAGCTGAAAGAGGGCTGTGGGTCGGCCTGGTCGGGGACGCAGGGCCACACGGAGCACCTCAAAGTGCAGGGCTGAGCCCTGCCAGCGGCAGGAGATCACTGGGTGGCCCCCACGGGACCCGGAGGCACGAACCAAGAAGTCTCCATCTTGCTGAAGGAGGGCCTCAGCCTTCTGGGGAAGGAGGACAGGGGCAGAGGGCTTAGGCATGAGCCCAGATCAGCAATTAATGGTGATGCCCCACCCCCAGCCAGCCCCCACCCAAGAAAAGCCACCCCAGGGACGGGGTAGTTTTACACCAAACCATCCCCCCTTTTCTCAGGGGCACCCCTCTGGAGTACATTTCCCAGGTTCCTTTGCAGCTTGTCATCATTCAATATGATCTGGCCAATAGGAGGAGGGCAGAAGTGCAGCTGGGAACGTCCAGACCTGGCTCACAAGCCCCTCCTGCACAATCCTGCACGTTCTGGCCCCTACGTGTCAGGGAATGTCCCCAAAGCCCTGGTGGAAGGAGGAGCCACAAGATGGAAAGAGCCCGGATCCTGACCGATTTCTGGAGCTCCGCACTCCCCACTCCTCAACCACCTCATAGTGCTGGCTGACATTGACCAAAGCAGCTTTCCACCTGAGTAAATGCACTAGGCTTGGTACACAAACGTGGCTTCAAACAAAAATGCCATTAGCTGGATCCTTCCAAACTGACTGTGGCCTGGAAATCCTCCTTTATTAAAAGTTTTAAGCAGTCTTATGCCAGCCATGGTGGTGGTACCACAATAGGGGCTGGGGGCCGTGACACCAGAGGGGGAGGCAAAGCAGAGTTGGGGACAGGGGCTGGGGACTGAACGATAAATACGGTGGACGCACATATAGCCCTTACTATGTATCGGGCTACATGCTGTAGGCATATGAACTCATTTAATCCTTTACCAAGGTTAAGCAGTAGATACCATTACTCCCATTTCACATATGGGGAAACTGAGGCCCAGACAGGTCAAATACCTTGCTCAAGGTCACACAGCTGGGGTTTGAATCCAGGAGGTCTGGCTCCAGGGTGTGGCATTTTAGCCAATAAGCAATACTGACTCTCACAATTTGACTGGATGCCCAGGGTCCTAGGACTCCCGAGGGTGACAAATGAGTTGGGGATGAGGGTTGGGGAGACTTGGGTTGACAGGGAGATGCTGTGACTGCTCAATACTGATTGAGCACTCACTGTGTGCCAGGACCTGTCCTAGACCCTGGAGACACAGGGATGAGTGAGACCAAGGCCCTGCCCTGCGCCGTCTGGTGGGCAAGATACACGAGAGGCAAGCACACGTGAATTGTCCAAGAGTAATCAGTGAAGGTAATAAAAGAGGGAAATGGGGTCTTGGTGGCCACAGGTACTCGGGACCCAGAGGGAAAGACAAGCAAAGCCAAGGAGTCGGACGGGGGGGGGGGGGGGGGGGGAGCATTAGGACCCACTTAATCTCTGTCACCCTTGTCCATACCATCCCAGAGAAAATGGTCATTTACGTGTAAGGAGTGGCATGATACCAACCAAAGTTCGTCCCCAGACCCTCAGCCACCTCTTCCAATAGACCTTGACCATAAGTCCCTCATCCAGGACCCAGGAATCCCCAGCAAGTCAGGGCGGGAGAGGCTCCCCATCAGACGGTCCTGAGGCTCTGTAGGAAGCAGAGGTACCTGACGGGACAGGGGGCCGTGGTACCAGGGCTGGCTGGCGAAGTCTTCTCCATCCTGTGGCACCTGCATGGAGCTCTTGGGGGCAGAGGGTACAAGGGCTGAACTCTGTACTTGCAACAGTCCTCAGTCTTCCACATCTGTAAAATGGGAATAATTATTCCTTCCTCCTGAACTTCCTTAGTGGCCAGGTCAGCCCTTCCATGGTCCTCAAGCCTTACAATGCCACTCTCTCTCTCTGTATATATATAAAATAGCCATATTCGAAATTAAACAAGTTATTCAGTCAAAATATATATATATACACACAGCAGATTTTGTTTATATATGTGTGTACTTATATGTATACATTATATATGGTAGATACATATAATTGGGCTATGATTAAGATTAACTTAGAATTGGCTGTGATCTCATGCAAACAGTTGTGCATTCACTGGTATTCTTGCAAAGGGAGAAGACCTAGACATTGCCTTCAAATGTAATGCAATTTTTAAAGAATGTTTGTTTGTTTATTTGTTTTGAGAGAGACAGTGCGTGAGCGGGGGCGGGGGGGGGCAGAGAGAGAGGGAGAGAGAGAATCCCAAGTAGGCTCTGCACTATCAGCTTGGAGCCCAAGGTGGGGCTCCATCCAGGAACTGAACCATGAGATCATGACCTGAGCCGAAACCAAGAATCTGACGCTTAACTGACTGAGCCATCCAGGAGCCCCTGTAATGAGATTTTTATGCAGATGACATTTTACAGAAATGTCATTAACTATTTCACTCAAACTAATATCTATGGGGCACTCACTGTGTGCCAGGTACATACTCTAGGCACTAGAGGCCCAGCAGGAACTAGACAGGGGCATCCTTGGGGAGTTGCTGTTCTAGTGGGGCAGAGAGCAACCAAGAAAATAAGTAAGTAGGGCACCTGGGTGGCTCAGTCGGTTAGGCATCCGACTTCGGCTCAGGGCATGATCTCGCGGTTCGTGAGTTCGAGCCCCACGTTGGGCTCTGTGCTGACGGCTCAGAGCCTGGAGCCTGCTTCGGATTCTGTGTCTCCCTCTCTCTCTGCCCCTCCCCGACATGCATTCTCTCTCCCTCTCTCTCTCTCTCTCTCTCTCTCTCAAAAATAAATAAACATTAAAAGAATATTTTGAAGAAAATAAATAAGTAGATGATGGAGTAGATAGATTACAAAGAGATAAGCAGAAAAATAAAGCCAGGGATGGGATATGAAGTTACAAGGGGTGGAGATAAGATTTTCCATAGGGTGGCCCGGGAGGGTCTCAATTAGTACCAACTGGGAGGATTTTGAGGGAGCGAGCCAGGTGAAAGAACATTCCAGGCCAGAGGGAATCTATGTTATTAATCTATAGCTTCTTAGCCATCTATGTGCACACTCAAGAATTCTTAGGATGTAGGAACATCTGACCCATACATGGCTTTCCCATGTCACACCATTTTTAAAAACTTTATGTATGCATTCTTGTATTCTGCAAGAGAGAGAGAGAGTGAATGTGAGCGGGAGAGGGGCAGAGGGAGAGAGAGAAACTTAAGCAGGCTCCACACCCAACATGGAGCTGGACACAGGGCTCAATCTCATGACTGTGAGATCATGACCTGAGCTGAAATCAAGAGTCACCCACTAAGCCACCCAGGTGCCCCTTAAATTTATTATTATTATTATTATTATTATTATTGTCATTATTATTATCTTTACACCCAATGTGGGGCTCGAACTCACGACCCTGAGATCAAGAATTGCACACTCCTCTGACTGAGCCGGCCAGGCCCCTCTCCAACATAATACCATTTTCAAGGACAATAAAACGTCACATTTTGTAGAAATGTCAGCAAACAGCAATTTTGCCTTTGCAGATTCTTACATTTTGGAGCCCATACGCTTTGTTATTCTTGTGGCCAAATTTAGGTCTCTGACATTTTGGGGCTCCCTTGATATTGTGCAGGCCTCAGGCTCTGTGTGTCTGGAGTCTGGTGGAGAAAACCTGCTCTGGGTGGGAGGGAAGCAGGCGGTCTGCTTCTCACTGCCTCCACCCCTAAGGTCTCCTGCGCCTGGCTGTGCAGGGAAGTAGCACCAGGATTCTCGTTTCCTGAGTCAGCAAGGCTGAGGGCCAGAACCGGGCAGGAAGTTCCCAGACCTGCCCCAGGTGGCTTTAGGGGTGGGGAGCTGGGCAGGGAGCTGGCTCCAGGTGCTGCATACCTGAAAGGCCAGGTGTGCCTCCTGGATGCCTGTGTACTTCCTGTTTGTCAGCTGGGCCAGGCCAGCCTCTGTCTCGACTCCCCTAGCCTCAGCTCCCTCTATCTTGTGCCCTCTTTAGTGGGCATGCAGGTGGGTCACCGACAAGGCTCTGGCTAGTTTGGTGGAGGGGAGCTGGGATGAGGGAGGAGCTCAGGGTGGGCACAGGTCAGACTCAGGGCAACCAAGTCATCCTCCTGCCCTTCATCCTTTGGAATAATTTCTGGATATTTGGGCAGGGGAGAGAAGGGAGCAGAATCAGGAAGAGGGTGGGGTAGGGTCAACCATGGGGAAGGGAAGAGGGTTATTCATGCCCTACAGACCATGCCAGTGTGCACACATATGCAGGGGGGCAGCCCCCTACACACAGACACATGGACACAGATAGACATGGGTAGTCAGACTTGACATGGAGCAAACGCTGATTGGCTGAGCACTTACTGTGTTCAGGACCTGTTCTAGACCCGGGAGATACAGTGATGAATGTGACTAAGGCCCTGCCGGGTGCTGCCTCATGGGCAAGTCACACAGCAAACAGCACACAAATGAATGAAGAAGACAAAGTCTAAGAATAATCACTGAAGACGATAAAACAGGAGCGTGGGATAAAGAAGGTTGGAGGAGGCAGCTACTGTAAATAGTGTATAATCAGGCAGCTTTCTCCCTCCATGGAGGGACTTTGGAGCTGAGATCTCAGTAAAGGGAAGGAGACGGTTACACAAAGGTTTGGAAAAAGGGCAGTCAAGGTGGTGGGGGCCGGGAGAGCGGGTGCAAAGGCCTGGGGGTGAGATGGAGCTTACTTCTAACATTTTACACCATCAAGAGGCCACTGTGGCTGAAACGCACTGAGCAACCAGCTAAGTGGAGAGCGGCGAGGTCGACAGGCGTGAGACCATTCTGGTGGACCCGGAGTTTTCATCTTAGTGGGATGCAATGGGGGTTAAAGAAGGGTTTTAAATGAGAGAGGGCGCGATCTGGTTTGTGCTTTAAAAAGATTGCTCAGGCAAAGTGGCAGCCTGGAGGCTTTCCGTGTTCCACAGGTAACACGCTTAGAGGAGCACTTTCAGGTACGTCCAGGTACACGGTCACGCGTGACGCACAGCGACCCAGTCAGGCACTCGGCGACCCCTTCTATGTCCTCGGCTGCTCGGGGACCGACACCCCGACCTTCCCTTCCGGCCGGGGGCCCCACCTGGAAAAGAGAGGACTCTTCCACCCCAATAATCCCCTGATTCCAGATGTACCTGCGTCCCCTCACTCACCTGGGCCGGGACCCGCGGAGCTGGCGAGAGGCTGGGGCCGGGACGAAGCCTAAAGCTCTGCGGCTCCGGGCCCCTCCCTCCCCGCCCCAGCGGGCCCAACCTTCTCCGGCCGCGCCCGGCGGGAACCGAGCCCATTCACCTGGCCCCGCCCCCGAGGACCCCGCCTCCAACGGTAGCCTTCCAGGCTCTGGCCCCGCCCCCGCGCCCCGTCCCACCCCTTCAGAGGCGTTCTTGGCGCTAACCTCGCCCCCTTCGGAGAGAGCCTCCCTCCCATAAACCACGCCCCCTTGGGAACCCCGTCCACCGCTTCCACGAGGCCCCGCCGCCTGGGGCGTCGCTCCGCCCCCAGGAGCTGGCCACGCCCACACGCTCTTTTTCCCTCTCTCAGTCCCGCCCTTTAGAGCTCCGCTCCTCTCTTTCCCGCAAGGCTGGTCCCAAGTATCCCTGACCCCTAGGGACGTGGTAAGGGGTGTCTCTCTCCTCGCCTCCCAGGGGCCCGCGGGGGGACAGGCCGGCCCTTTACGGGCTCACTCTAAGCGCGGGGGCGACGGCTGCTGTGACGTAGAGAGAGGTGCGCTTCCTCCAGACCGTCCCCCTGGGTTTCCCGGAAGGGAACTCCAGTGGGTGTCGGGCTTTGTGGAGACAGATGCGGGAAAACACGACAGCCTCCACCAGTAACAGCACGAGGGGAGAGGAGCTCGACTCTGGGGGCTCACGGTGGGGAGACATTCAGGTGGTTTCCCTGGTGGGAGGAAGGAGGTGGGAGGGGGGCTTCCATCGTGATGCTTGGAGCAAGCACGGAAAGATTTGGAACAAGAGGAAGGACGCTCTAGCCACGTTTATTGAGAGCTCACAATAATAGCAGTTTTGAAAGCACTAGCCGCAACTAACACTTACTGAGCGCTTACTGTATGCCAGGACTCTTCTGCTTGCCTGACCTGCTTCAACGCATTTAATTTTCACATAGACCTGTCAGTGAAGGAGGTACTAATTTTCATCACCCCCATTTTCCAGATGCAGAAACTGAGGCGCGAGGCAGCCAAGCCATTTGCCCAGGTTGACCCGGCTTGCGAGTGGCAGAGGTGGGATTCATACCCCGAGCCCTGGAGCGCCATCCTGTCCTCCTCGCTTTCATCCGTGCAGCCCAGCCCCACCATCTCTGATCTCTACCATAATTCTCAACGGTGAAGGTTACCATCACCCATTTTACAGATGAGGAAATTGAGTCGTAGAGCGCCAAGGACGCTTGGGGATGAAAAGTTTCAGTGCCTGCGGGATCGCAAAGCTGGTGATTTCCAGGCTTGGCTTCCCCCTCAGCGAAATGTGGAAGAGACTCGAGGCTGCGGAGGAGGAGCTGAGGGGAGTGTTTTTTTCCTTGACCCCCTCCCGCCTAGTTTCGGTGCAGAGAGTAGAGCGGGGTGGGGGGTGGTTGTCCAGTGTGGGAGTCTAGCGCCCCCTAGTGGTTGGAAGCATTAAAAAAAGAAAATCTGAGGGGCGTGCCTGTGAGATGGGCGGGAGTCTACTCAGCTTAGTGGGGTGGAGGTGGAGAGAGAGAGACCTTGTAGACGAGATGTTTTCAGGTGGAGATAAGGGCTACGAAGATGGTGTTTGCTAAACGAATAGACTAACGAAGAACACCATCGATGTCTACAAGGAAAAAGATGGTGGGGGCCAGGGCCATGGCAGTATATGGATGAGCTTGGGATAAACGTCAGAGGTGGAGCCAAAAAAAAAAAAAAAAAAA